TTACGTACGTACGTACGTACGTACGTAGTAGTAGTAGTAGTATATATATATATATAGAGAGAGAGAGAGAGAGAGAGAGAGAGGTAATGGGTTGTTGGTGACGGTTAACACAAAGTGATAATGATCGACAATCTCGTGTAACTCGATGGTAAATAACGAGGGGAGGGGGATCGGTGTGATCGGCGAACGCGAAGATCCTTGCGAAGATTTCTGCAAGAAAATCGTGCCGGAAATTTCTTTCGTTTGTTTTCGAATCGACGAGTTTCGTTCGAATGAGGAACGAGGATTCGTTTTTCCTTCGGCCGAGAGATCGCGCAGAGAAATAATAGCGAGGATCTTCGTTCGCGTGACACGCGCGACGAGTTACTATATATATATGTAAGGGGTGGTGACGAGCCTCACCGAGGACCAACCTCGATGATCTCGATGGGGATGTTTCACAAAATTCACGAGCTCGCATGCATGGTACGAAGGAACGAGCGAGAAGATTCGGTAGTACGTGCTGTGTGATATGTACAAGGGCTATGATCATGAGGGGACATACGTTCGTAGCATCATTCTCTCACTACTGAACGTAAAGAACGTAAAGAAAGGAGAAAAAAGAACGCACACGCACGCATACACACACACAGACACACAACGAGCTACGCGTTCGTAAAAGTACAGGCGTTTTCTTTATCTTCGGAAAAAAATTGAATCACGTACGTAACAACGATTCTTCGCGATCATCTCGCGTCGAACTCGGAACCATAATGAACATTCTCTCCTCGAAAAATGTTCTCTCAAGTGTTTTTACATCTTTCGATTGTTTCGTTAAAGTCATTTCGAAAAAAAAAAAAAAAGGGAAAAAATTAAAGAGGTTCTTCTCGGAGACGTTTCGAAAACGAATATGATCGCGATTGAACGAAGAATGGGGGGGAGAAGGGGAAGGGTTGCAAGCTCTCGTTTGATGGAAATCTTTTTTTTTTTTTACAGGAAACGATTTATCCCCACACCTCCATGCGATTTTCGAAACGGTTCCGGGTTCTCTATATATAATCTCGAGGTGTCGTCTAAGGTGTGCAAAATGTGTCTCTAGGTGCTTATGTTATCATTGTTAATATGAACGAACCGAGAAAAGGACGAAAAGAAACGAGAAACGGAGATGTAACTGAAGATGTAAGAATGAAGTGAAACGTGAAAGAGAATGAATGAGGAGAAAGTAAAGGTAAAAAATAAAAAAATCGTGGCACACCATGCAATCAATTAGAGAAACAATATGGCAGAATAAACATAGTGAGAGAGAAAGAAGGAAAGTTCGATCGAAACAACACGACACGAACGAGCGAGCGAGCGAGCGAGCGAGCGTAGTTCCTTTTTTTTTTTTTTTCTTTAGCTGCGGTGAGTTAGTTACCTTCCACATGAGGTTTTTGTTAAGGTGGCCCCAAGTGGCGGTGGCAGATTTGGGGATATTGGGAGCTGAGGGTAAGAAGGCGTGACGGGCGTAGGGCAGGGTCGCCACGATGTGAGCCTCTGTCGAAGAGGATTCACGTGGCGCTGTTACTGCCGGCTGCCTATCGACAATCGCCCAGCTTCGACCGGACGCCAAGTACTGTAAAAATCGAACCATTCGCCGTTCCCTCTTAACCCTTCGTTCACTACGGAATGGGGATGAGATCGAGTGTTGTGTCCTCGATGAATCTTGTGTACATATATATATATATTGTGTCTTGGATTTTCAAGCGTTTTCTCAAGGAAGGAATATGTTCTTTGGATCATTCGTTCGTGTCCATTCCACGAACGTGGAATGAAACGTGTTGTGAACCAATTGTTATCGGCTAATTAACGTATTGATTACAAAATTTTGATTACGTAATTTTGTCGTATAATAATGTAATCGGAAGTTACAGTCGGGTCGATGATAGACTATTTTACCCGCGCGCTGTAATACACGAGAGTATAATACGCTCAGCAGACAATACTCGAAAGATCAAGTGATTAAACATTGGAGACACAATAGGGACAACACAATGGAACACCGATGTTCTGAGAGAGGACATTGAAACGTCGAGTAGGAAAGGTTGCCATTATGATCATTAACCTCTCGCTAATTGCCCGGCTCGTTTCGATATTAATTAAAAAAAAAAAATAACCGCAATTCACCAGTAAACAAAATTCTCGCGAAATCATCTCGGGCAAAACACCTTGCTCCTTAATAAATAAATCCTCGCGTTCTTCTAATCTCGACTCTAAGCATCGCGCATTTCTTTCTTCGTCAATTTCGTCGAGAATTTTCTTTCCTTTTTTTTTTTCTTCTTCTTCTTCCTCTCTCCTCGAAACTAATTAACCCGACGAGGTTACTCGTGATAAATACGGTTGATGTAATCGCCAGCAACGAGAAGGATTAACCGGATTCTCGTGCGCGACACGGTTTAAAAAGGGCCTCTAACCCTTCGAAAGCGTGGCTGGCGCATATGGACGAGATAAATCCGAGATGATATCTCGCGGAGCTGCAATGCTCGCCGGAAGTGTGGCGGATTTAACTCGTACACGGGCAAATCTACGATGTAACGGACTGAGATACGCGTCGTCGGCACGCACACCTTGAACGCACAGAAGTGTTGCGTTCCTGGACGACCGTATATTCGACCAATACGATTTTCCAAGATTTTTCCGCTTCGTGGCGAGGACGGAATGTGTGAAAATTCTGAAAAATTTAATCATCGATCTCTCGATCTCCTTTCGATCGACAGACGATTCTTCCATTTACGATTATTCGAATTTCTTTCGATCGATCGGTCTCTCCTCTCACCCCCATTCGTAGATATTAATTATTTTAGTAGATTCTCAAGAATTTATCCATCGAAGATGATCATCGATCGATAGTCCTTCTTAGGTGGAAAGGAGGAGCCGTCGCGATGGAGCAAGGCGAGATGCAACGGAGAAACGTGGCGCGAGTCCTCTTTGTTCTCTTATTGTCCGTAATGAGATAACGTCGGGAACCGGCTCCTCGTTTGCGCGGTTGACGTGGAAGACGAGCCGTCTGTACCGGTCCGTATCCGTTACCGATCATCGATGGTGTCGAATAAAATTATCCTCCACGCACGACTTGCTAAAATCTTTTTACCAATGAAAACGATCGCGCAATCGATTCTCCACGATTCGTTCACTCGGTTAATTATAGCCGATTTTTCGAGCTTGCCGCCTCGATTCAAAGGGCGGCACTCCTACGTCTCTCTGGATCGCGTTAAATCAATACGTTTCGATATCTGATCCGATATCGATCCCATCCTTGCCCCTCGTCGCGCGAGAATATGCGCCTAGTTAGTGTTAATTAGCGAAAATGCGAGGGGAGAGAGAGAGAGAAAGAGAGAAAAAAAATAGGAAAAAAAAAAAGAACGATTTCTCTTTATACGTGTACGTGTGTGCGTATGTCTGCTGCGTTTGCTGCGCGTGTATACAGAGAGCAAAGGTGACGAAGAAGAAGGGTAGTACGCGTGTATGTGCGCGCGCGCGCGTGTGTGTGTACGTACGAGTTGTGCGTTGCAACAGGAGGTGTGAGAGAGATGTGAAATGTTGATCGGTTCGGCGAGGTATTTTTTTTCTCGTTTTTTCTTCTTTTCTTTCTTTTCTTTTCTTTTTCTTTTTTTCATAGCTTTCTCTTGTTCCTCGTGCTTAAGTAATCGGCCGTGTGAGCGGACCAAAGAGCGTCTCGACGCTCTTTTGATGTGACGTGCGTTTGACAGGCTGTGAACCGAACCGAGAACATCGATCGGAGAGCGCGAGAATACTTTACGAAAAGGAAAACGAGAGAAAGAGCTAATTCGAGCGCTCTTCGATCGAACGATCGCTTGACAAGTGAGCGGCTTAAAGATAATACTAGAGATTTCGACTGCGTGGACAGAATTCGACGAGAAAAAAACGGGGGGCAGAATATATCGCATATTCTTCTTCAGGGGACGAGAAAAAGTTTTCTACGTTTGTGTGTATACATATATGTATATATATATATGTATATATATATATATATATGTATGTATGTATAGATCGATCGTATTCTGTCCACGCGATTGGATAAGAATAACATTACACACGCTCGTACATTACGAATCTTTCTCAACGTTATATACTTCCTTTATGGTCTTTATGAAAATTCGTTTCAATTTCCTTAGTGACAGTATTATACCGGTCGGCTCACGCATCAGTGCCTCGAGAGTAAAAAGGATAAGCGGCAAACAGGTTTGCGAGGAAGCCAGTGGCTGGATACGCTAGCTAGAGCAGATGCTATTAGTCGGAATGCAAGATCTGTCTTCTCAAACCTCGCGATGCAAGCTATGTTCTATTAATGTTTCACGTGTTATTTATATCATCACATTAATATTTCAAAAGGTAAAGAATTTTTTCAATGTTTTTCGTTACTGGTTATTCAAACTACCGTTACGCGTCGATTCGCGCATCTTACGAGGCGATTCTTTTTCCCGACGAATATAAAACAGCGTGCAGACAGGAAATTTGGGGCAGGCCAAAAGTGTAGCAGTTGGAGAGGCAATTCGTCGGAGGCGCAGCTGCGAAACCGATCGTACGAATCATCGAGATGTTTACAGATTCGTTACGTTCTCTCGTAGCGTGGCGAGTTCTCTCTACCCGGCCGTAGAGAAGTTTCGTTTCATTGACGATCTGAAATCATCATCTGAAATAAATCTGAAGAGGTGAGGGCGAGCGAGCCATTCGTCGTGCTCGCGCTTCGCAGTAAAAAGTAACGTCTCGTGTATCGAGACAAAAGGAGGGGGGCGAAAGGAGGAAGGGAACGAGGGTACAAAGTAGCCAGCAACCGCGTTACACCAAACCCAGAGCCAGATAAGAAGCACGAAAATCACCATTGTTAGTAGGAGGTCTTGCAAATAGTACGTTCGCGTGTTTACAGGTGTGCAAAATGGAGGAGCGAGAGAGCGTGCCATGTATTCCCCCCCCCCTTTTTTTTCGCCTTCTGGTCGAATGCTATATGGAATATATAACCGAGAATTTCTCTTTCTTCATTTCTTCTTTCCACGTCTTTTTTTTTTTCGCTTGTCGATACACCGATTTCCTTTCTATTTTATTATCTACGTGCGTATGCATTCGCGAGAAAACGGATCTCGTGAATTTTTTTAAACAGAGCGAGAGAGAGAGAGAGAGAGAGAGAGG